CGTGTGCCCCCCCGGGGACCGCGGTCCCCCTTAGCAGAGCGCAGGGCAGCGCAGGAACCGTCTCCCTGCGCGCGGGCGAGTGTGTCTCAGGCTCAGCCCAAGGGCAGGGACATAAACCCTCAGGTGCGGGGGCATTACACCCCCCCCCGCAGTTTGCCGGGCCGGTGCCGCGGCTGGAAGCCCGGCGGGGCAAGGAGCCTCTCTCGGTGAGAGGCTTTGGTGTTAGGAAGATGCTCCTGGCATAGCGCAGAGGATAAATATATATATATGTGTGTGTGTATATACGCATCCCGGTATGTGTGCATATATTCCTGTAGCAGCGGGGACACGCGGGCTGATCCAGGGGGGGTCTCTGCTCTGTGGAATAACTGGATCTCTCAGCCGAGCGGTTCCTGAGCAGATGTGGAGTTCGGGCGCCTTCATTTGCTTGTGTAGCCGAGCTGCCGTGGCTGGCAGGGAGATGATTTATCTGTCAGGAGCTGTATCTTGCAAGAAAACTGTCTGGATGGCCAGAGAGCCTTTAAGACGATCCCGGCATGGAGCAGCATACAGATCCGATCCTGCTTACACACAAGTGGAGTCTTAAAGCACACTTAAAATAGCAATACCCCTAGACATCCCTACTGTCACTGCTATCCCTGTTTGTTATTCATCTGCTACTCCCGCGGTACGGCTGCAGAAACACACCGCTGACAGCAGGGACAAAGCTCCTGACCCGGGACTCTGAAGAAGCAGTACCCTAAATGCTCTGGGAGATCATTTCAGAGCCTGGAAGGAAAGGGTCGGAGAGAACAGAGGAGTCTTGTTGGAGGGGTACGGAGCTAAAGGCCGCGGCTGCGGCGCTTGGCTGCATGGCTCGGGCCACTTGTCACCTGTGAGACTGATTTAGTTGGGGGAAAAAAAAAAAAACAAACCCCAAACACCGCGAAGCCCGTCGTCCTCTGGTCCCTCAGACAGACCCTGGGGAGCAGCCCGAGAACGCGGCTTTGTGAGGGGCTGTGGGTGCAGGAGGAGCCGCTCCCAGGACGGCGGGGAAACTGCTGAAGGCTGCAAGCCCTGCTTGGGATGGATATCACGTCTGCAGCAAGCAGTAATGGGTTGGGGGCAGATATGACTTTGGATCATTGCTGTGCTGCAGTCAGGAGTATTGGAATCTTGGCTCTTGCTTGATGAGGCACTTTATTTGATTAAAGTTTCCCTTTTAATCAGAGATATGGTCATTTCCCGTCTCTAAAATGGAATCTGGCTCTGGGGGTCATGTCTGGATAATAAAGGGACTGGTTCTCTTGTCTCAGGGGAGCTGATATCGAATTTATTACCATCAAGGGAAAGCAGAATTGTACTTGTAAAATGTTGCATAATAAATTTAGCCTCCTTAGTAAATCAAATCAGCGGATACCCTTATCTGCAAGAGATGCGTCATCGGTACCTGAGCTTCTTTGACCAGACAGAACTAATGGGGAGAAAATGTTCCTTCAAAGGTGGCCAAAGTTGATGGACCCACAGTAAATTAAAGAAAAAAAAAACCAAACCTCCCTGGTGTTTGGCTTAGAAATTCATAATTATATTTGGAAAGGGACTTCAGGGTGAGATGATATGACTTTTAAAATTTTGTACTTTTGTCCCAAAGCCCAAAGATGTGACACTTATTTGATTTCAGGAGGAGGAATGCGGAGGAGGCGATGTACTTCATCTGTCCTCCGGTGCAGGACAACGCGCTTTTGGAAAGCCACTGTTAATGTCAGGGAGATGGAGAAGATTTTAGGTCTGTATAAAGAACAGAGTTGACTGCACCAGGACTTCTTACCCATTTCTTTGTTCTAGCGGCTGTAGATGCAGGAAAATGCAGCTCGTGAGGACTGTTTTGCCAGAAAGAGGAAATTATTCTCGAGTCAAAAAAAGCCCAGGGCCCAGGAAGGGAAATTACATTTAGGGTTGTCAAGATTTTAGAAACAACAGAAAATACCTAGCACACGTATCAGCGCATCAACCCACACCACCGATGACTGTATCGGTTCAAGTTGAACGCCAGGGGAAAGCGGGGCTTGGCATGACCAGTTGGTCACACTTCTAACACCCACTTTAGCTGAAAAAGAAAGACCTGCCTATGTTGGGAATTTTGGAAAAAATGCGAAAGGTTTCTCTCCAAACATCAGAATAAATATCCGAGTAGTTAAACAGGAAAAAATGACTTGTGTACAGTCTGCGCTTGCTGCCCTGCTCCCTGCGGACTGATAGTCCTTGCGCTTGGGAACGGCAGCTGGGTTGGATGCTGTACCAGGGTGAGCTTACGGAGGGGGAGAGAGAGAGAAGCAGCAACTGCTGTCACGCACTCTGCTGTCAGGAAGGGACTTCAGCTCATCGTCCAGCCTTTGGAGTCTTTCTTCCATGGGAGGAAAACATTTTGCCATGAGGAGACCAAACACGATGAGTCAGAGTTCCTCATGTCTGCAAAATATTAATTTTCTTAACAGCCTGAGTACTTAATGTCTGCAATAGTGAGCTTGTCCTCCTAAGGGTATGGCAGTACTTTTTAGTACTCGGTGCTAAACTGTTTACGTGTTTCTTTTCTAATTTCTGATTAAAAGACCTGCTAATCGGATCACTCCAGATAGGAGAGGCTCACCTAGCCTGGCGGGTACGTTATAGTCGTTGGAAGCCTGGTGGAGGCAAAAGGAGGAGATAGAAGGTAAAGTCCGTTTTCAACAACTTC